TGTGCGTGTGCGTGTGCGTGTGTGTGTGTGTGCGTGTGCGTGTGCGTGTGCGTGTGCGTGTGTATATGTGTGCGTGTGCGTGTGCGTGTGTATATGTGTGCGTGTGTAACTTATTTTTGTCCAAGCGGTCGCCAGTGCGCGCGCGCCTGCTTTTCGGTGATCTGTACAAAGAAGAGCTGTGCGTGTGCGTGTGCATATGCATGTGTGGGAAAGGATTTGGAAACCGGGATAGGTACACGAGTCGGAGAGAGAGAGAGAGAGAGAGAGAGAGAGAGAGAGAGAGAGAGAGAGAGAGAGAGAAATTGTAGAGGATGAGAAGAGGAGTCGGGGGAAATAAAAAGTTAGTGTTCATTCGAGGATTGTGGCTTGTACAACCGTCACTGCATCGTTACTTTATAGATTTTTCATTTTGCTTCCGTAGCCTTTTGCTTCCGTAGCATGGGTCTATGTATACGTCATCAGGGTTTGACGGTTGACGTGAAAAAAAGGTTTTTATGATACATGGCGTGCCTATCATTCATTATCATTCAACTTTGTATAGGGGACGCTGGACCCGATTTCCAGCAGGTGCAGCTCCCCCCACCACTAGATGGAGCAGCCGGGTCACCTACTACTTAGGAGGGGATGCTTGTATCACCTGCCCTAGTATGGCAGCCTGATAGTTTGTAAATTGAAAAAAAAAAAAAAAAAAAAAAGACGCTCTGCGTCCAAGTGGCTGAATGGTGCACACACATATAAGTCGATGTCATTTTTGGCAAACAGACCGTGAGTTCGAATCCGATGCGGAATCAGATGGATATAATTACATTAGGTACAAAAAGAATGCTCTCATTTGATTGATTGCTCGAAAGGAAAATCTCCTGCAATGTTCCTGTCGTTCATGAAAGGCCAGTTCATTTTCTATCCCCCTTTTTTGTGAAACTTTTTGTGAAAAGATTGGCGTTGATGTCAACGAGCCGAGGGGCTCGATTTTTTCCTTCTTGGGGGGCGGTTGGGGGGCGGTTGGGGGCTGGAAATGCCGTTTTGCAAGCCCTCTATCCCGGTGGTGGTGAGAGAATCACCAGGCCAGGATTGAGGTCTTGGCTGCTGGCCGCTCCAGGGCAGCTCAAAGACCCTAATGCAGTGAGTGGGCTAAACAAAAGATGCGTGCTCAGTTGGAGTTGAGTGTGCAAGAGTTCTAGATGCGTCCGTGGGAGTTGAGTGTGGTGTTGAGTTGCGTTTGGACACTACAGCCTTGCAGGGGTTGGATGGGTATCAAAGCAGGCATGGTCCCACTTTTGGCACCGTGTCCTCGCTCTAGAGGCCGAGGTCGCCGATTCGAATCTGTGCAGGTGCACGGAGGAGGACTTAGGCTGTAGCCTTTGCACTTAGTCTACTATCTCCATCTTTCCCATGGGGCTGCGGGTGTTACCCATCCTATCCTAGAGCTCTCTTTTTTTCCACAGGCCCAGCCCGAATCTGCAGCTTGACCTTTTTTTTTAGGAGGTTGACTGTCTAAGTTTAACTTTGGTAGCAATTCTAGGACTTTGTGCCTTCTTTCCTCCATCAGTAACTGTTTTCCATCCCCTCTCCCTTCACGCTTCTCTCCTGCTCATTTTCGTCTGAATCTTGGTCCCGCTCCGCACCACTCTTTGCGCTCTCCTTCTTCCCGCCTTGTGACAATCTATTTTTTGTAATCGCGCGACTTTTTGCGCGAAGCGGCTTGGGGGTTGGGGACTGGTTGGTCGGGTGGAGTGCATGGGTATGGGTCGGCTAGGCAAATTGCATGGATATCCGCGCTTCTTTCTTCTTGGCTTTCGGGACCAGGGCCGGGAAAGTCCTGAGCAGGCGATTGGGTGACCGCGCCTTAGCGAGCCCAATAAATAACTGTTGCCATAGCTTCTTTCTTGTTCTGCTGAGGGAGATGGGAATTTTGGCGCGATCAGCGCACGGGAATGTCGTTTTTCAATTTTACAACTGATGTCGAGCCCCCACGGGCTCTCATAATTGTTTTTCTGTCTTTTCGAAATTTTTTTTTGCAAAGAGGATTTAGACCAGGAATTTGGGTATTCTGAAATCTTGTTGCGTCACGCTTCGACTGCATGACCGGATCGATGCATGGAGTGTGGCTGCGTCCCCCACGCCTCGGCTTGGCCATGCAGACATAGGAGTTTGCTTAGGAGGTGAGTAGACGAGAGAGTTGGGCGATCCGACGAGCTGGTGCCGAGTATGCGGGGTTGACGTGTGGGCTGCGACAGACTGTGGTGCATGGGCGAACGTGGCTTGCATTTTCGGACCAAGCGGGGTGACAACTCTGTGTTGATGAGAGGCGACGGACTGCCCGCATCGGGAGTGGTGTGGAGAGAGAGGAAGAGAGAGAGAGAACAGATGTGTGTGGGATGGCGTCTTTCTTACAACCTTCGGTATAATTTTTTATTCCAACATAAGCCGATTTTGTTGCGGCAATTTCGGATGTCCTAGTGAATCACCGTGGATTTTCTGTTTTTTGTGTGTTGTCGCGTGAACTTGCGCCCTTCCCCCACCCCTTCTCAAGTGGTCTTTTGAGTTTTCCATTTTTGTTTTGCTTAGTGGTGCTAATCCAAATTTTGTCACTTTCTAGTATCTATCCGCGCTGCGCGATAACTCCGGATCTGGTTGGATATGTTCATCGTGCATGTTTTTGTTCGATAGTCAGCCTTTGATTCATGTGTATGTTCTGATGTGTTGGTTCTCGATGCCGGGGCGGTTGCTCCTTTTCCTTTCTTAGGTTACCCAATGGCATGGATATGCGTGTAATGGTTGGATCTCACCCGGAAGGACGATGTCTGCAAAGAAGGGTAGTTGCATGCATGCGGGATAGGATCGATACGCCAACAAGACCGCTCACGACGGTCCCGCCGACGCGAAAGGACTAAGATCCGAGCCATTCCCGCTCATGCGCGCGCCCATGTATGACAACGATCCAAAAATCGGGGTCGCGATATACGCGCACGACTGCATGAGTCGACCTCGGCCTTGCTTCAATGTGTGTCCGCCAAATAGGAGATGGCTATAGAAGCGCCCTTCAGGGTCACCAATCGTGAAAGCTTAAGGAATTCGGAATGTCGTGAATATTGGGAGAAGGAACAACTTAGACGACGGGGGAACCTGAGAAATCCTGAATATCCTTGTCAAACTGAAAACGATTGAGTGTGTGAGGGGGACTTTCAGTGGGTTATAGGCAAGGATCCTAGGATCCCGGACTATCCCAACATCAGTAATACCCAATATTATATATCTCCGGGTTTCGTCGCTATCAATACCAATTTTCGTCCCTTCTATCTTCTCCTTCCGTATCACTAGCTCACAGTAGTACCGTGGAATTCCATAGCTCGCTACTGACCCCGCGTGCCGTGCGCGGAGTGCCAGCGAGACTACGCGTATCGAGCCTCGGGATGTATTCGACGAACACGAACCGAAGCCTAGTAGCGCGCGCACATCCTCCGTCTGAGGCCATCCTCGTCCGAGGCTTGGATAAGATTGATACGCCAACAAGACCGCTCACCACAGACCCGTTGACGCGAACAGACAAGATCCGAGCCATTCCCGCTCATGCGCGCACTCATGTACCACAACGACCCAAAAAGCGGGGTCGCGATATAAGCGGGCGACTGCATGAGTCGACCTCGTCCTTATTTCAATGCGTGTCCGCCAAATAAGAGATGGTTATAAAAGCGCCCTTCTGGGTCACCGATCGTGAAAGCTTAAGGGATCCGGAATATCGTGAATACTAGGATAGGGAACAACTTAGACGACGCGGGAACCTAAGAAATCCTGAATATCCCTATCAAACTGAAACGATCGACTGTGTGAGG